CTTTTAAGCTAACAAAGGACGGCCCGAGTTAATTTTTGAAAATAAGGACTAAACGTGCATTTTTGACACCTGCACAAGGGACGATTCGTGTAATTTACTCTAGCTTTTTTAACAATAGCATCTTTAAAATTATCATTAAAAACGATGATGATGGAACTAAGTGTTATATCTTCATGTCTGATGAAGATGAAGATGATGTAGTAGATTATCTAAAAATAAAAAAGGTTAATGACCAAACATATTATGAAGACTTTTCGAATTAAAAAAAATTACAATGGGGACTTTGCGAGTTAAAACAAAAGTTAAGGATCAAAGGTGCAGATTATCCCTAATCATAGGGATCAACCGTGTAAGTTACTCAAAAACATTTCGGTGTCTTTAAAGTAAACTAGAGAGTTAGCGCTTGTAACCACATAAACTACAAATTAGTCCTATTCACATTGTCAACAACTTGATCTTTTGTACAGTTTAAACCTGGACCGTAAACGAACCGAACATTAGCGAACGGTTTGGAAGGAAATTCGTTTATGTTCGTTTATTTAATAAATGAACGAACATGAACACAAATTCTCGTTCGTTTAGTTAAACGAACGAACATGAACAATTGTAGCATTCATTCATTTATGTTTGTGAACGTTTGTTTATGTTGTTCGTTTACGTTTGTTCGCTTAAATTTCTTTAAGTTCATATATGTTTAATTGTTTTTTTGGTTACATTATTATATTATATGTTCGTTTATGTTGATATATGTTTAATTTGTTTGTTTATCTTTGCTCATTTATATTCGTTTGTTTATGTTCGTTAAGCATGTTCATGAACATAAACGAACAAACATGAATAATGTAATTTGTTAAACGAACGAATATGAACAAAAAAAACTTGTTTATTTATCCGTTCGTGTTCGTGTTCGTTTGTTTGTTCGGCTAATTTAAACGAACAAACATGAACAAGCCCTTGTTCGTGTTCGTTTACAACCCTAATTTTAACAACATGATTTAGTTATTAAATTTAAAATTTAAAAGCATTTTCTTTAAACTCTAAAAAGTGATTTAATCACATTAGTTTGGGGAAGTGATTTTACTTTCATCTTCGAATCATGTTTCATTGAAGAATCCCCATCCATCAATTCTTTAAAAGTTTCAACATTCACATGTAGTTCTAACCATGCCCATATTCCTGCATAAAAATACAATCAATGAATTTTCAATGTCAATTATGCATCTTTTTTAAAAGAATAAACAATATAAAAGTATGATTCCCTCTGACATGGTGGTCAATATTGTTTTCAAGAGTGATAAAAATAAATAACGATGTTTACAATATAAAGGCATAGAAACTCACCACAGAGATCAATTGCAATTAGTGTTTGATGTATGCACCTGATTGATCCATTTTGATGCATGCATGTATTCTTCCTTGTTCCTGATTGATCCATTTGGGCCTCTTGTCTTTGTTTTAGCATCATAAGTCTCTTCATCTATGTCCTTCAACTTGTTTAGTTTCTATATAATAGGAAAAGACCTGATACCTTTTATTGTTTATTTTTTATTTTGTTTTGTTTTGTGTTTACTCTTTTAACTTAGACCAGAAAACTCTTAACATAAAGTTTGCTGACCAACAATCCGATTGTACGTGGAAACTGGAAAGTAATACAATCAAATTTACTCAATATTCACCATTGTGTGTGAGAGACAACTACATCCTAATTATCAACAAATACATTTGGTTTAATATGCTAAAACATCTATAATCCATATTTAATTTGACAGATTAAGCAATAAAAGAGCGAACTAATTTACATAACAAAATTGGAAACCATTGTTGATCTCAAGAACATTTAAGCAACTATTTTATGAAGCTTTTAAGTAACTGCTCAACAAAGATAGAATAATGATTCCAGTAATATCGATCAGTTAATAGGTCATTAATAATACCTAGGCACCATAACATTAGTTAAGTTCTTAATCTAATAGCTATATAGATCATCCATCTGAACTTGATTTGTGAATTCTGATAGAAGGAGAATAATCGTCCGTCCTATATCGATGATATTGAATCAAATATATATGGATTACATATATTGATGATATTGAATCAAATATATATGCATTACAATCTGACCTAAAACTATATATGGTAAATATTTTCCCTTTGAATATTTTACATAAATACAATATATATTGCTAATACACCCATGTAGTCGAAACAGGAGGGGGTCGAATGTTAAGACTAGATCGAAAATCTTCAAACAAAACTCATGGAAGGCCTTTAGTGAAGAGGTCAGCAATCTGAAAACGTGATGGAATATGCAGAACTCTAACTTGACCACGAGCCACCTTCTCCCTTACAAAGTGGATGTCAAGTTCAATGTGCTTCATACGTTGGTGTTGAACTGGATTAGTAGACAAATAAATTGCGTTGACGTTATCGCAATACACCAGTGTTGCTTTCGTGGGTGGAAGTTGTAGTTCACATAGCAAGTTTCGAACCCAACAAGTTTCAAAAACCATGTTGGCAACAACGCGATACTTGGCCTCGACACTAGACCTTGACAACGTCGGTTGTATTTTGGAAGACCACGAGATTAAATTATCGTCCAAGTAAACGCAGTACCCCGAGGTGGAACGACGAGTATTGGGACAACCTGCCCAATCCGCATCAGTGTAGGACAAAATAGAACTGATTCCTAATTTTTGAATTGTGAGACAATATTACAAAGTACCACTGATGTAGCGCAATATGCGTTTAAGAGCATTCAAATGGGGCGTGTGAGGAGCATGCATATGCAGTTAAGGGTTTTAGGGTGTAGACTGAGAGGGTACTCTTTGTTGTTGTTAGGTGTCTCGTAGGATCAGTCTTCACTATGTGAGAGTTGTTGTGTTTAGATGCTATCTGCGAGGTGAGTCTTATCACTATATTTACCTGGTAGTGTATACATGCTGTCCAGTTGGGTCTTATTTTTTGATTGTTGTTATATGTGAAACTGGGTTGCTGATAACTTATGGGCTGCTGTAAGTCCATGGGACTATTGATAGTCCCCAAGGTTGCTGATAACCCGCAGGGTGTGTTGTTAATCCACAGGGTGTACTGTTAACTCATTTGTTAACTCATTGGGATTGTTGATAAACTATAGTTGTTCATTATGTTGTGTTGTATGTGATATTTTAGGAAACTCACTAAGTTTCGTGCTTACAACTGTGGATTAAATGTGTTTCAGGTACTTCAATCGCTGGAAAGCGAAGGCTTGAATGTACACTCCAGCCTACATATTTTATGATTTTGCGTGTTTGATACTCTGATTTGGGATGATTATATATTTTATACATCTAGGTTTTATCGACTTTGTTTTTATATTAAGTGATGTTTTATTTATATTAAAAATGAAAAATTTTGTGGTAAAAATGGGATGTTAAAATTTTAAAGACTATAAGACTTATGTTGGAGGTCTTTTATGGAAGCAGTTCTCAAACCTTACAGTAGAGGTTGCCAACCATCTTACCTCTCATTACCCCATTTATAGGTTTGAATTTTTTTTTAACATCGAAGATGCACTTGTTTCTATTTGAGAATCCAGATAGCTGATAAGCAGCATCTGAAATCTGTAGCAATACCTTGGAGATCTTTCAAAACTCACAAAATTGGCAGTAATGTTTGTCACATACCACCAAATTTTGACACAACTTTTAAGCTACTTGGCAATTGAGCATGATCCAAACATGGAGAGAAAGAAAGAGGCATGCAGATCTAGATATAGAGAGATGACGAGGGAGATGGATATTACCTTTGCAACTTCATCAGAGTGACATACCATTTCAGTATATCTCATCAACAATTAAACCATGCAAAATATTGCATCAAAGTCCATGGAAAATTGAAAATCATTGCAAAATTGAAGGTAAAATCAACAAAACTAGTACCAACCTATTCTCAAAACTAAAGAAAGATGAATTCTTGTAAAAGCGAAAACACGAAACACTGACCTATAAAGCTTTTTTGGTGTAAGTTTTAGTGTGTGTATTTAAATCAAAGACATGATGAAGAAGAATATTGTGCGATTAGGTTGAAATTTTTGGTTTTCATTAAAGCAAACCGACGAGGGGCGGAGGATGGTGGCATCTAGAGAGGAAGTTGAGAGGGGTGCAAGCAACTTGGGGGGGGGGGTGGTGTTATGGAAAGAGGCGGATGATGGGTGATGGTTCAAAAGAGAGAATGGATAAGGATCAAGAGAAACATGTTGATCTTACATGTAACAATAGGAACGTGACAAAGGATCGTTATATGCGAAAGGGGGATAGAGGGGGCCACTTTAGTATTCTTTATTTTTTATTGTATTTAAAATAATAATAATAATAATAAAGGTATTTAGGTTATTTTATAGACAATTAACCTTTTAGTTTTTTAACGATGCTACTCGTAAGGGTCTTGTGTGCGACATTTCAAACTCTTACTGTGTTTAAAATTTTCTAAAAAGACTTGAATTAAATAATTTATGTATTTTTGTCTAATTTTTAGGCTAAATTACACGAACGGTACCTGTGGTTTGGAGTAATCTACGCGCTTGGTCCCTAACTCTTTTTTTTTTACTCGGATGGTCCCTAAGATTATTTTTATTGCGCTGTGGGTACCTCACAAACATTAAAAGACTATATTTCCCTTCTTTATTACCTTTTTAGTTTATTTATTGTTGATTATTTATAAAATATAAAAAAAATTAATGGCCCCACCCAACCCATTCTCCCTCATTGAATGCCATCACTCTTTCTCTTATCAACCATAGCTTCGAAAAATCTCGTTCGATACCTTATCTGCTTCATGTCTTTTGTCATAATAAACTACTGATGAGATCTCACATGAGGATGTGACCCTCTTATTAATTTACCAGATTTAAAAAAAAAACAAATAAATAAATAAAAAATTAATAAAGAAATAGAAAATGGTAATTTAGGCTATTTATGTCGGACCTAACACGCAATAGAAGACCCTTCCAAGTTAAAAAAAAAAAAAAAAAAAAAAAAAAATTTAGCAAACGGTCTTCTGGATCAACGCTCTTCTTCTATGATCTTCATGGTAACGGCGGAAAAGGGCAAGTTATGGCTGATGCAAGGTAAAAATAAAATAAGGCCGCCCTTTACTTTTATTTTTGTTTTCAACTCTAAAATCTATCGTTTTTTTTTTTTTTTTTTTGCAGAAGATCTGATTTGGATGAAGCTGAATTTTCTAAGTACCGTTCTGGTGTGAAACGTGGAGATATAGTTGGTATTGTTGGTTTTTCAGGTGTTCAATTTTGTTTTCTTTAGAAATTCTGTTTATTTTATCTTTTAGTTTTTTTCTCAAAGTTTTCTTTATAACAGGAAAAAGCAACAGGGGAGAGCTGAGTGTTTTCCCAAAAACATTCAAGGTGTTAACTCATTGTCTTCATATGGTGCCAAAGCCAAACGCCAATGTGAAGGTAAAACTTTGTTAATATTAATATTGACGTATTTACCCCTAATTAATGGTTTGGTTTGTTACAGAAAATCGATGCTTGGACTCCAGGAAGTGGCAGAAATCCTGATGCATCATGCATATGTATTAAAAGATCAGGTACGTATTCAATATCATTACCTATACCATTGCATGTGAATATGATTTTTTCATTTAATTTAATTATTTTATTCTAGGAAACACGATACCGTAAACGTTTTATGGATCTGATGTTAAATTCAGAAGTGACACGTATATTCCAGACGCGTGGAAAAATCGCATCTTACATCACACGTTTTCTTGAGAATCTTGATTTCCAGGAGGTAAATTAAAATAAATCACTTTAAATACTTTTTTTTTTTAATGTTAATGGCTAATAATAATTATTTGTTGTTATTGTTACTGAAGGTTGAAACTCCCATGATGAACATGATTGCGGGTGGGGCAGCCGCCCGCCCGTTTGTGACCCATCACAATGATTTGAATATGAGGCTGTTTATGCGAATTGCCCCTGAACTTCATCTGAAGCAGCTTGTTGTTGGTGGAATGGAGCGTGTTTTTGAGATTGGAAAACAGTTTAGGAATGAAGGGATTGATTTGACACATAATCCTGAATTTACTACTTGTGAATTTTATATGGCTTATGCTGACTATTATGACTTGATGGAGATAACTCAAGAATTGTTAAGTGGTAAGCTCTATATTCTTATCGATTTTGGTCCTTATTCCAAGCTTCCAAAATCGAAATATGAAAAAAGCGGTTTCAGTTTTTTTTTTTTTTTTTTTTTTTTAAATTATTATTATATTTGCTAAGACATAATGAATCAGGCATGGTGAAGGAGCTAACAGGTAGCTACAAAATTAAATATCATGCCAATGGGTTGGACAATGATCCCATTGAAATCGACTTTACCCCTCCTTTCAGGTCAATATCTTACTAGCTTATAATTGATTTTATTTGTTTGATTTATTTATGTTACAACATTCTACATTGGAAAAATCTGTTGAACTATAGGAAGGCCATCATCTAATGTGATTTTCCTAATGATGCGACATCGACCTCCGACAAGTCTTCTGGTCTTCTGCTGCGGCGGAGATCTGAGATATCACAGTGCAAACCCGTTAGAGCCGTCCCAGGGACTGTGCCCCGGGAGCGGACTCCGACGGTCAAGTTAGATCGGCTAGAAGATCTGAGATGGCCCTCCATAGCTGGAGTGCTAGTTGTGGTGTATGGTGGCTGACGGCGGCGGGTGGCGGCTGAGCCACCCGGCCGGAGTATAGGGCGGCGGCTGAGCCAAGGGGGAAGTCTAGTGGTGGCTGAACCACTTGGGAGAGGGTCTAGGAGAGGAGGAGGTACTATTCATTATATAGGGGGTAATTAGGTCAAGGGGAATTAGGTCAGGCCTTGGGCCAGCCCAATTCAGGCCCAACTAGCAAGGAGCTAGGCAAGGCCGCCCGGAGGCGCCGGACGGGGCTGGCGCGCGTGCACCAAGAAAGGATGGTAAGGGAGTGTCAGGCGAGGGAGCGCCTGGCCAGGCCGGCAGGAGAGTCCCCAGCAGGGCTGGCTAGGGAGTCCCCAGCAGGGCTCGCAAGGGAACGCCAGGTAGGGCTGGCAGGAGCGCGCCAGGCCAGGCTGGCGCGCTAGAGCAGTCTAGGCCATGCCAATGGACCATATCTCATCAAGTCCCCCCAGTCTCATGTTATTGGTACGTGGCCAATGACATTGGACTGGACTAAGTCGTATAAACCAACAGGAGAGTCCCCAGTGAGGCTAGCAAGGGAGTCCCCGGCAAGGTTGGCAGGAGCGCGCCAGGCCAGGCTGGCGCGCTAGAGCAGTCTGGGCCATGCTAATGGACCATATATCATCAAGTCCCCCCAGTCTGATGTTATTGGTACACGACAATGACATCGGACTGGAACTAGTCATATAAACTGTGCGTCGTCAAGTCCCCCTAGTCTGACGCGATTGGGTTGCTGACAATCGGATCGGACTAGATAAAGCACCAATACAATAAATAATAAAGAGAAATGACTGAACCTCGCCCACGAGAGCCGTGGGGTTGTGCGATGAGCCAAGTACTGCTTGAGCTGACTTGATACTCCTTTCTTGAGAGGAGCGCGAGCCAGTTGGTGCGACGCAACGTAACTGTTGCTGCGATAATGCAGACCGAGGCTGCTAAAGAGTGTTACGCGACACTGATGTCGATAAAATGTCGGGTCGGGGTAGCTAAGAAGCGTAAGCTTGCCATTCAGTCCCTGAGACGGTTATCCGACATGATTGTTGTGGTAGCCATGCGAGATGGGATGTCACCAGTAACCATCTACATAGTCTGCATTAATAACCGTCTCGAGGATCTTTCTTGCTTGGGCTACACCTAGCTGGATTCCCCCCAGTCTGATGTGGGTAGCGTAGGTAGCCGTGTCAGACTATGTTGTCAAACCAATAATCCATAAGGTTGTTGACCATAATATAAGTGGCAGATATTCCGAGAGTTGTGCGATTAGGTTGCTAGCGAGGGTCACACAGTGAGACTATTGCCGATAGCCAGAAAATAGAATTGTTGAGGGATAGGCAGTGAGGCTATAGGTTGGGGTTGCTTAGCAAGACCGTTTCCGAGAGCCAGGAAACAGAGATGCTGTGGGGTCGTAGGTAGCAGGGCCACTGTCGGGATGACCTTCTTGCTGGAGAGTAACCTCACTATAACAGGTTGTAATGTGGATAACACTTCATCGATCGTCCGAGCACAAGAGAACCATGATGACTGTGAGAGAGGAGGCACCAAGATCATGGTGTGGAATAAGCTTGTGATGCGCAACTTATGGTGCGCGACAATGCGCGACTTATGTTGTGCGACTTAGGAGAGTGGCTTGGGCTTAGCAGCCAATGATCATGGAGATGTTACGTGGGAGAACATCGTGCGGAATGGATCGGACTTGGCTGCTAGCGATCGTAGATAAGTCACGCGGAAGAGCGTCGCGTGGAATGGTCGAAGCATGTTGCTATAAAGGAGTCGGGCTGAGAAACCAGGCGACTCGAGGCAAAGGTACTGAACCTCGCATGCGGAGCTTGCCGCTATAATGGAGTCGGGCTGGGAAGCCAGGCGACTCTAGGCGACTCCAGGCGAGGGTACTGAACCTCGCACGCGGAGCTTGCCGCTATAATGGAGTCGGGCTGAGAAGCCAGGCGACTCCAGGCGAGGGTACTGAACCTCGCACGCGGAGCTTGCCGCTATAATGGAGTCGGGCTGAGAAGCCAGGCGACTCCAGACGAGGGTACTGAACCTCGGACGCAAAGCTTGCCGCTATAATGGAGTCGGGCTAAGAAGCCAGGCGACTCTAGGCGAGGGTACTGAACCTCGCACGCGGAGCTTGCCGCTATAATGGAGTCGGGCTGAGAAGCCAGGCGACTCCAGGCGAGGGTACTGAACCTCGCACGCGGAGTTTGCCGCTATAATGGAGTCGGGCTGAGAAGCCAGGCGGCTCCAGGCGAGGGTACTGAACCTCGCACGCGGAGCTTGCCGCTATAATGGAGTCGGGCTGAGAAGCCATGCGACTCCAGGCGAGGGTACTGAACCTCACATGATTGGGCGTAGCGCCCTACAATCTATGTATCTAGCTCGTGTGATCAGTCTGAGTTAAAGCGGAATGGTACCTGATGCTTTGCTGCATCGCTAGTCGTACGAATAATTGATGCCTCGGTGCCTTGGCTGTTTGCAGAGAGCTATGTGGCGGTGCTACTTAGAGCTTGATAGTGTAGCTGCTGTTAGGAGGTGCTTAGCGAAACTGCTGTCAGGAACTGGTCAGCAGGGCCGCTGAGAACTGAGCATCGAGCTGCTAGCGATAAATGAGAAGCACGACCACTGAGGGCTGGGCAACGAGACTGCCGAGAGCTGGACCACGAGGCTACTCTTTCAATCCGGAATACCAATGTCACCTCGGGGATACACCATCATTCATGGTGTCAGCTCTTTGACTCTTCCCCTTGGGAATAAAAACTACTTCTAAATAGTGTCGTACCAACACTATTCCCCCCCCCCCCTCATTTCTCTTTTTTTTTGAGGAGGCGAAGAAAGGGAACGACGGATGTATAGTCGTTGAAAGGCGAGATACATAGCTGCTGGAGAGAGCTAGGCAACCCAAGCACTAACAAAACTGGGTAGCACGGCTGGCGAGAGCTAAGCAGCGCGACTGCTAGGAGTCAGACAAAGTAGCTGCTGATGGTTGGGCTTTGCAGCTGCTGAGCTAGGTCGTGTCGCTGCTGAAGGTCGAGTTGTGCGACTACTAAGAGCTGGGCGGTAAGACTAGCGGGGGTCGGTCAACATGAATGTGAGAGTTGATTAGCGAGACTTCCCGGGATTGATCAACACGGCTGCTAATGACCGCGCAACGCAGTTACTGATGGCTATTTCGGAATGCTTCACGAGTAGTAGTAGTAATGTACTACTCTTCTCCCTCCCTTTTTTTTTTGAAAATGGTGAGTGATCTAGGTTGTAACGTATCTTCTTATGTCGGATTTTGTTGGGCGGGATCTCAACAAGCGGGTACTGGGGTTGATCATTAAAATTTATCTTGCAAAAAATATTCATTTTAGTTGTTGGGCTAGCTCATTGAAAAATGATTTTAGGGAGACCCAACAAGCTTCCTGGAGCCCAAAATAATATTTCAGTCCTTAGGCCCAAATCTCTTTTTTTTGTTGTGGGGGCTGATTTGGTTTTGGTTATTTAAAACAAATGAAGGGCTGGTTTGATTTAAAATATGTAAATAAGGGCTGATTGGGTAACATTGTACAAACAATATGGCTGTTGTTGGTTAAAATTTACAAATGGGATCGATTTGTAATCACTTATACAATTGAGGGGTTGATTTTGGTAAGTGATTCAAATAAAGGAGTTTGGGGCTTTTTATGCCCTCGTCTGATCGATTGAACGGAAAGAAACACAAACGAAGCGAGAAAATCAGGAGGCAGAAATCAAAAGGGGTCCGATCTCTGGCGATGGCTCTATGAAGGAAGATCGGAGGGAAGGGGTTGCAGCGGTGATGGCGACCGGTGCTGATTCGTCCGATGGGTTTGGAGTTCACCACGATGGGAGTACAGTAGCCGGCGACTGGGATTAGCGGGTGGTCCGGTGGAAACGTGAAACGCCTGTGAGAGCCGATGGCGGTCACGGATATGACTCGTCGACGAACGAGTCCGTTGCGCCGCCTGGAGGTTGGAGATGATGGGCCTTTTCTTGGGTCTCCGAATGGTCTGATGGTGGCGATGGCTCTGTGAAGGAAGATCGAATGGAAGGGGTGGTCGATTGGCGACGCAGCGTCCGATCCATAAGGCAGGGACCCCCAAGGCCTCAATTGCTACCGGTGGTGGTCCCTTGTTGCGTTGCGGATTGACAATCACCACCTAATGACGAAGCGGGAAAACGGAGGTTGCGATTAAAGGGGACCGGTAGCCGTAGTCGTTGACTGGTGAAGTTGAGTTGGTGGGGTTGTTGGACTGGTGGTCTTGACCGGAAAAGACAGAAGTGTTGTAGGAGATCGTCAACTGAAGATTGTTTGGAAGAGATGAACAAGGTGGGGCCACCTATATTTGACTTTATTGTATATCCATAATTGGACCAAGCGGGTCCCACCCGAGAATGCTTCTGTCCTTTGGTTCGTAGCGTGTACTGCGTACACCCATTTCTCTCTTTTTTCTTCTTTCGTTGATTACTCCATAAAATTGATGGACCGGGTGGGTCCCATGTGGATGCGTTGGGGTGTTTTGTTTTTCTCTGAATATTGTGAACCATTATGGTTTTTGTCTTCTAATGTGTACTGTATATACTATCCCATCCCTTTTTTTTTGTTTGTCAGCTTGAGATGACAGCAAATACGATTTGTTGTAATATCTTGTAAACATGAACTGTAAAGATCTTTTCCCTTGTATAGACACTTGATTTTTGCGCATCTTCTTTTCTATTTTATATCACTCTTCTTACAGAAGTCACTTCTATTTCCCCATTTTTTTTATAGTCATTATAATTAAAATGGTAAAACTATGAGAGTAAAGGTAATTTTACTAATGTTTTGAAATGCATAAGGATCCCAACACAACGTAAGTAAATTTATACACAAACTTGTGAAATTTTTTTTATGATATGTGTGCTGGAAGATTGTAAAATTTATGAAAGCTCAATTTCTCCTCAACTTTCTTAATAAGTCATCAAAAAGAATGACAAAACTGACTTGGGATAGAAATGATTTTACTGATAGTTTTAGAAGGTAAAAAATTATAAAAACTTATTTCTTCTTTCAAGCTTCTAAATAACCTGAAAATCATACACCAAATGGGATTTTCAGAAAACCCATGAGAAGCTCATCTCTTCTTCTTCTTCTTTTTTCTTCAAACTTCTAAGGAGAAAACACCAAAGGAATAACAAAATATTCTTTTCTTTTCAAACTTTGCTGAAAAACCTTAAGATATAAACAAAAACGGGATTTAGCAAGGTTTTTTTTTTCCTTTTTGAAGGTTGTGTGAAATGTACAAGCATCAAAGCTTTGTTTACAAACAAATTTTCAGATGATGAGACAGGTTCAATCTAAAGAACGATTTTCTTGTAATGTGTGTGTTGAAATGAAACAAAAAACTCATAAAAATTATTTTCTTTCTCCTTTGCTGATCAAACCACCAAGCTTAGATGAAAACACATCTGATAAGGTCTTTGCAAACTTGGAGAATGCTTGAAAGAGAAAATGATGCTAAGACAGATCTGAAAAGATCTTGGCAAGAACCAAATGGATCTTAAACAGATCTTGGCAAAGGCCAAACGGATCTGATGAGGTTTTCTTCTCATAAAACCTTCCCTACTCTTCAGCTTGCTCAACAAGTCTGAAAATCTTTTGTTCCATCTCTAAGCTTCTAGTGGAAGCACCAAATAAACAACTTGAATGAAGTTGTACATGAGAAATCAGAAACTACAACGGATTTTCTTGAAAATGAGCAAGCAAAAGAGATAAAGACTTGTAAAATATTGTTTGTTCTTCAACTTGGTGAATAAAGTTTGAAAAATTGAACAAAGATGGGGAAAAACTCATAGAAATCTCTTTTCTCCCCAACTTTCTGAATAATCCAACAAAGATGGATCTGATAAAATCTTTTAACTTGAGAATTGCTCAAACAAACTAAAACAAGGCATATTTAGTTATCTGAGCAAGAACAAGGTAGATCTAACGATCTGAGCAAAAACTCAACAGATCTTAAAGATCTGAGCAAAAACTAAACAGATCTTAAAGATCTTGGTGAAACCAAGTCGATCTGAACAGATCTTGGTAGAACCCAAATGGATCTGAACCAAATGGGGGTAGAAATGAACAGATCTAAACAAATCTTAGATGAAAACACATCAGATCTGAACAAATCTGGTCAAAATCGAGCTTGAGGTCAACTGAGGCTTTTGCTACTTGCTCGAATCCGAGATGGCGCCAAATGATGCGACATCGACCTCCGACGAGTCTTCTGCTGCGGCGGAGATCTGAGATATCACAGTGCAAACCCGTTAGAGCCGTCCCAGGGACTGTGCCCCGGGAGCGGACTCCGACGGTCAAGTTAGATCGGCTAGAAGATCTGAGATGGTCCTCCATAGCTGGAGGGAACCATCTTGGTGCTAGTGGTGGTGTATGGTGGCTGACGGCGGCGGGTGGCGGCTGAGCCACCCGACCGGAGTATAGGGCGGCGGCTGAGCCAAGGGGGAAGTCTAGTGGTGGCTGAACCACTTAGGAGAGGGTCTAGGAGAGGAGGAGGTACTATTCATTATATAGGGGGTAATTAGGTCAAGGGGAATTAGGTCAGGCCTTGGGCCAGCCTAATTCAGGCCCAACTAGCAAGGAGCTGGGCAAGGCCGCCTGGAGGCGCCGGGCGGGGCTGGCGGGCGCGCACCAGGAAAGGATGGCAAGGGAGTGCCAGGCGAGGGAGCGCCTGGCGGGGCCGGCAGGAGAGTCCCCAGCAGGGCTGGCTAGGGAGTCCCCAGCAGGGCTCGCAAGGGAACGCCAGGCAGGGCTGGCAGGAGCGTGCCAGGCCAGGCTGGCGCGCTAGAGCAGTCTAGGCCATGCCAATGGACCATATCTCATCAAGTCCCCCCAGTCTGATGTTATTGGTACGTGACCAATGACATTGGACTGGACTAAGTCGTATAAACCAACAGGAGAGTCCCCAGTGAGGCTAGCAAGGGAGTCCCCGGCAAGGTTGGCAGGAGCGCGCCAGGCCAGGCTGGCGCGCTAGAGCAGTCTGGGCCATGCTAATGGACCATATATCATCTAGAGGGTGATGAAGCCAATAAGTATCTTGCTGATGCATGCACAAAATTTGAAATCAAATGTCCCCCACCCCAAACAACCGCACGTCTGCTAAACAAAGTAATAAATAATCCAAATCCAATTCATATACATTGCTAAATGCTGATTGTAACTTTTTAATTAAACTGTTTGATGTGTCAGCTGGTGGGACACTTTTTGGAGGAGACATGTGTTAATCCTTGTTTCATAATCGACCATCCTGAAATCATGAGTCCTTTGGCCAAGTCCCACAAATCCAATCATCCAAACCAGGCTTGACTGAACGTTTCGAGTTTATCATCAACAAGCATGAGGTATGTGATATGTGTATGTGTATGTATGAATTCTTTTCTTACAATAATTCTTTTAATCTTTTGTTTCTGATTTTGTTAGCTTGCCAATGCGTACACTGAACTGAATGATCCAGTGGTACAGCGCCAGCGATTTCAAGATTAGTTAAAGGTAATCAATCGTGTGGTGGTGTTTGTGTTTCTTTATTACTTAATTAATTAATTTATTGTTTTAAATTTTAAATATATTTGTTTAGGATCGACATTCGGGGGATGATGAAGCAATGGCTTTAGATGAGGAGTTCTGTACGGCTCTTGAATAAGGGTTGCCGCCAACTGCCGGTTGGGGTTTGGGTGTTGACCGCCTACCTTGCTATGTTGTTGACCGATTCACAGAACATCAAGGTTGGTTTGTGCATGCATTCCTCACTCTTTACTTATTTTCATTTACATTTTTAAATTTTTGTTAATGTTTGGGGGAAAAAACAACAGGAAGTTATACTTTTCCCGGCAATGAAACCACAGGATGAAAGGTACATTTGTTGTTTTAATATTTTTTGTTTGTTGGGATATATATGTTGCATACAAACTGATGAAAATAATTATATGCAGCCGCCTGCAAGAGATGGTGAAAAGTTGAGCTCATAATGTATAGATCTTGAAGCTATTATATTTTTATGGAAAGAATTTATATTTATAGGCCACCCATGTCTTCCTTATGTGAATGTTTTTTTTAGGATAATGACTTAGAAGGATAACATAGTTTAGGTTGTGTTGACATTCAGTCCTTGAAGTTATTTTTTATTCACATATTACCATTGAACTTGTTTGGACTGTTCATATTACATCCTTATGATACCGGACTAAACCCTATTTGTTCACATTTAGTCCTTTAAGTTTTTTTGTCAACATATTAGCATTGAACTTTTTTGCATTGTTCACATTACAACCTTATGAACTTGTTTAGACAATTGGCATTATATCCTTATGACCTGGCAGCTTCGGTTGTCTTCTATGTTGCCATTGAACCGTTTTTTAACTAGCCTGTATGAGAGGTGTTTCAGTTTGAGCTCAGACTTATTCAATTATTTATCTTCTTTAAATTGTTATAACTCATTCTTTTGAAGTTGGAATGTCATAATCTTTTTCAACACATAGTTTTATGTGTGTATTTCATTTTAGACTATATAAACATATTTTTTGGTTACATGTTGATTGAGTTATGGGTCCCGAAACATAGGGTATCAAAGCTGAATTTATGTCATTTCAACATTGAATTTGCTATTTCTACTTCATTTTAGACTATATAAACACCTTATTTCTTTATATATTGTGTTCATTTGTGTTGGTTGATTTGGTATTATTTTAATAATTTAGCCTCAAATCATTAACTAGTTGTAGTAACTTCTTAAGAAATTGTGCCGATTTTAACCGGGTATTGAACCGAAAACTGGCATCTACATTGAAACCAATATAGTCTAACCGGTCAAGTTATCAGTTCTCATTATTAATCTAAACCAGTTCCGGTTCCAAATAGGGTTTAGTCCGGTTTGGGTTGGTTGCTCATCTTAGTTCCAACTAAGCACCATTAGCTTAGTCTTTATCTAACCAAGTACCTAATACCATGCAAGCTCATTAAACAACGCGATCGGTCCTAAAAAGATCAAACCATTTCTCTAGTGATGTGAATAAATTATTGTAGAAATGGTTAATGGCTTATAAAGGTAACATAGTTTAGGTTTTGTTCACATTTAGTCCTTTTTGTTTTTTTGTCATTATATTACCATTGAACTTGTTTGAACTGTTCAGATTACATCCTTCGACCGGCTAAAACCTACACTAACTAATCATAAGGACGTAATTTGAACAATCCAAACAAGTTTAATGGTAATATGTTGACACAATATAACTTCAAGGACTAAACGTAACACAACCTAAACTACGTTACCCTTCTAAGTAAGTAATTATCCTTTTTTTTCGTCCTTTTTGTGTTGCATTATGAGATGGTAAAACCTTTCTTCTGTCACATTTACAACAAAAATAGGCATTCTTACATGTTCTTTTTTTTTTTTGAAAGAGTTCTTACATGTTCTTTGTTACTCTATCTATTGAACTACTATCATAATAAGTGTATTTTCTCTTAGTTTTTGTGTCGATGCATAACAAGCAATAATCAACCCGGCTGTAGGGCCATTGAGTCGGACTTCAACATCATAGTCCTCAAGTTCAATTTTGGATTAAAAAAGTAATTCGTTTGATCACCGCAAATCAACAAATACCTTTCATCACATAAAATGCGTCTACATGTGATTGGGCAATATTTCTAGGTTTGGTTTGAGTAACTCATGTGTGAGGTTTGATCAAAGTTTCACACGATTTAACTACATTTCAAACTTTCCTTGTTAATTCCGATCACAAACTTCATCAAGACAACATGATCACAACTATCAATCCCCATCACAAACTTCATCAAGACAACAGGATCACAACTATCAATCATCATATGAACTAATTTCCATAACAATTACCTTAGATGCCTTGAATGTGGATCCAGTGACACTCTAGAAGCAAAGCCATCAAATCCAAACTACAACTCATTCATGAGATTAGGGCTTGAAATACCCAATTCCACCATTCGAGGTGGTTTGCAACCATTTAACGATGAAATGGCAACCTCATGGTGTCTATAATACACTCTTAACATCTAAAACTCATTCAAATCATTGGTTAGATTTGTAAATGTTATATTCACCCAAAACTTCATCAAAACTCAAAATCAAACAACTATATGAGAAGCTGTTGATGAGGTTATGATCTAGATATGGGATATCAATCAAAAACTACAATGATTCACAACTTTAAAACGCAGAAATTGGATTTGAAGTGGAGCGCAATACCCCTAATTCGAAATTTGTAACTAGAAGGGAGAGATACTACCATTAATGCTCGATGTTGAATCCCTAGCTTCAAACTCTAACTTGATCTTGAACTAAAATGCCTTTTCTTCCAAAGTTTCATAATCGCAAAAACTGATGTTTCCCATCTCTAAACTCTTTCTCTTCTCTATATGATATCTCCTCTATATAAGGAAGAACCCGCTAGTTACTTTCAAAACTTTCACGCTATGGCAAGAATTAACCCTTATATTAGTTTCCTAATACGACTTTCACAAGCTATATAAAAGTCCCAAATTAATCCTTTCTTCACTAAATACTTTAACCAAGTCAACACTAAATCTACAAGTTTTATTATTGACAATTAGTCCCTAGTATTTATATGTATAGTTTAATCTCATCCTTTAGTCATATCAACATAGTTTATTCAATTAAAATATAATTTATTTTATTACTTTATTATTTATTTTATCAAATTTTAATTTAATTTAAATTTACTCTATTTTATTTTGTTTTACAAAATAATTATTGTTTTACCCAAATTAACCTTAAATATTCCAGGCCCAAAATCTGGATGTTAAAATTACCCACACATGAGAAATGATTTTGTCCTTATAATCATCACGAAAATAATAAAAGTAATAACTTTTTCTAACTAAAATCCAAATCATCGTCCATTAACTTTCTTTTATATCCTTTTTTTAAAAATATAAATTTGAATTTATTTAATAACAATGTATTTTAATCAAACGTCATTTTGTTCCAAAAATTAATTCGTTTCAATCTTCTTTTTATTATGTACAATTATGTATATTTCTACATTTCTCGTAATGTTTCTTTTTTTAATTTAATCTTCCAAAATCAAGTAATACTGATATTATAATTCCCATCTTATTAGAAAAATATCTCATCCGTTATAAATACTAGGTGTGAGACTTGTATACAACACGGGTTGCTTAAAAAAAGTTATATATGAATATATAAATATTAAGCATTTTTATAAAGAAAATGTTAATATCAAGGTGTAAACATTAAGTATTTTTTAAAATAAAATTTCAAAATAAATATAAATGAAATGATGAATAAATAAGTAATTCAATCTCTAAATATTATTAAAAGAGAAACCTTATGACATCATCTTAAACAATCTGGGTCATTTATTGTATTTAAATCCTATGTTTTCTACCCTTAGATCAAATTGCTGACATCATTTTCCTCAAATGAAATATATTTAATTCCAATAAAATCTTTTCAATTGTCAAACAAAATTAACTTACATCCGTTGAAATGGAATGTATATAATTCCAATAAAATCTGCATATATTTTAAATATTGAATTTCCGGTTATAAATGTTTTAATATGGTCAGCTTTAAAAACATATTAGTAACAAATGATTTCAATTAAGGCATTAATATCAACAATTAATATAAAATCCATTTTTATTAGGAAACCATTAATACCAAAAAAATCAGATTCAAATTATCACATACATATACGATTCACCATTGAATCCGCGACTCACACTTATTTTCAATCGTTGTTTTTCTTTAAACATTCTCCTACAACATCATTCTTATTTTTTATAACTTCCATCATCATTCTCTGCTTTAAACATTCGCTGTTGTGCAATTGAAAGTCCGTACCTTCTTTCGTTTTTTATATTTTTTCGATTATTTTTTTGTTCCTATATCAAATATATGTATTCATATATTTCGATTTTCTTTGTCACAAATTACATGAAATCGGTTAACTATTTTTCTGAAACTTTTCAAATAAACAGGAAAAGATATTACGTACCTTTAATAAAACAGAAATTAATTATCTTTGGAATTTACACTAATTAGGGAAATGTTATTTTTATATATTAGAGATGATTATGATCTTTTTTAATTATTATGTCATAAGAATCCAGTTAATTTTGGTATGATTTTAAAATATTTTGGTATGATCATATTACACTTTTAGGTTGATTTAATAGGAAATAATATATAATCTATTTATGTATCCTTTGAAATTAAGTATGGAAACAATTTTGTTGACAACTATAATAGCTTTCATACCTCTTTATAAATCATATCTCTTTATAAATAAATGCATTGTATACGTCACTTTTATTTCATATAAAAGTTCTTTCTAATTCTAATTGTTTTCTCTTTCATTTTACACCCATGGCACAAAACAATCACGATGAGATCGTCTTTGATAAGGTTGCTGACATCGATGCATCCAAGGAAACCTGAAACATTCGTGTTCAAGTACTCTTGCTTTGGAAGGAAACTTAAAAAACAACCTAAACATGTTCAGCAGCTTGGACATGATTTTAATTGACGAGTATGTACAATTCTTTCTTTTTATTATTATGTTGCTTTTAATTTATAAAATTTTAAACTTAACCAATTTTTTTTCACTTACATGGCACTAAAATACAAACAACAATAAAAAAAAATCTCATTAGTTCATTTGAAGCCCTCTTTGTTGAAGGATCTGTAAAGGAAATTAGTAGTTTTGGTATGGACAGAAATGAAGGAGATTACATGTTGGTTGATCATAAGCATAAGAATAATTTCTACAAAACAACCAAAGTTCGTGTATCAAATGATTTTGATGTTATGGTGGATCTTTATAATTTTGTGACTTTTCAGGATTTGATAGCCAGGAATCTCGACAATCGTATTGCATTTGGTAAAATTTTATTTTAATATTCTACCTTATCCACACGTAAATATTTATTGTATTACACATCTATAATATAACAACCGTTTATTTTATTTTTTTTTGTTCCAGATTTTCTTGGTCAGATTGTGTCGACTAATCCCATGAAAGTGATTATTGAAAATTCAAGGGAGAAACGGTTGATGAGCCGGGTTGATCAGGATCTAAGTTAAGTATATGTGTTTAAAACATTTTATTTTCTAAAGTATTTTTCTACACGATACCATAAAACATGTCGTTTGCATGAAAATGACATGTTCATCTACACTTCAATATATATGTTTATTTTAGCATTACTTAAAACATTTCGAATCCACTAATGATAGAATTCACCTTTTGTCATACATGAAATAATTCGTAGATCATTATCAGAGGGTCCATTTATGATCTTCTCACTAACAAATTGGTCAAATGTGGTTAGAGCTCTTTCACACATTTTTATATCACATGTCTTCATACTTTTAAGTTTTAAATTTTCATCTTCAAATTTCCATTTTTTAGTTATACACCTTCATTGAAATTATTTTTTTTGTTTAACATATCAATCTACTTTGTTTTATCTTTATATAGTAAAAATAAAATTTATAAATTTACATTACAATATAGATATTTTGAATTTTGTCATAGTATTATACTTTACAAAATACAATTCTCTCCAAAATAATTTTCATCAGTAATTTCATCCATAATTTCATCTAATTTAAATTTGTATTTTCTTTATATAAATTTTTTTAATGATCCCGATTTTTTCCTTCCAAAAGTATATCAAGCATTTATGTCTTAGATAATGTTGCCCCATTATAATTATTACTTTCCAAAATATATCCGTTTAATGAGGAATTTAATTTAGTGAAGAAAGTAAATGTTAATTCAAACAAGATATATATTCCATAATTATTACACGAGTTTATTTAAAAAAATCAAGATGTAAACATTAAGCATACAAATGATGATGTTGTACAATAAATATAAAATATAAAATTGAATAGACTGCAATATATATATATATATATATATATATATATATATATATATATATATATATATTATGACAGTCAATTTTGAAAATAGTATATTTATGAAAAATTATAAAGTAAGATAAAAATTATAAGATATTAGGAGATTTGTAAGTACAATTAGTAAAAGCGTTACGGTTATTAGAAAAAAAAATAAGATCGTTAAGATTAGTAAAAATGCAATAATATCACAATAGTAATGAAATGTCATTATTTTATAGTTCATATAATTGAAAGATATATCAAATTACATTGATGATATACTAAAATTATTCAAAGTTGCGCCAAGACTAATGCAAAGTTCTTGTGAACACCAAATAAATAAGAACAAACATAAAAACTAACACTTATATTCATAATCAATTTAAAATAAATCAATCATGATTTAGAAAAGATTTCCATTGATGATATAGTAAAATTAAATCCATATAACATTTAACATTCTATAAATTATACTCTATGAGTTTATTTGAATAAATGAAATACTGTAGTTGTCAATATTTAATGCAGTGAAAAAACGGTATATTGGTTATAGGCTTAAATTAAGTAACCTTATTATGGAAGGAACGTCTAATTAGAATACTTATGCTTATATAACAATATCATAACTATATGTGACGAGGAAGATCATTCAACTAATAAAACAAAAAATGTTGTATACAAAAAGGTTATTCAACGATTATAGATATTTATCAATTTCAATGTATCTTCTACACATTTCAATAATTCCAGTAACCATAATTTTTTTTAATAATTATTATGCAATATCTGTAGACATTTGTATGTTTTTTATGCATTCCCCGCGTTTAACGCGGGTTATAATCTAGTTTATACTAATAAAACAAACTACGTAGAAATAATTATATTTTGACCATATTTGTGGTTTAACCACCTTATTTTAGTTTAATCAATGAAAAACATCAAAGTTTGATCATTTTGCCTATGTAGACCATTTTAGCCTAAAATGACAATGAACTTTAGAGACTTTCCAAAAAATTGCGACCAACTTGATAATTTAACATTTTTAGCTTCAAAATCAATAAATCGTCAACCAAACTAGAAGAATTCTTAGAATTTGGTGAACCAAAATTTGGAGAACATCTTTTCCTTTATCTACTTGAAGCTTTTTAACATTCTACAAGAAGATTGTTCGGTAAAAGTTAATATGTACACGTGGTAGCAAGCTGCTACAAGAAAGAAAATAGTAGTTGGTTTGTATTAGAATAAGTTTTGAAAACTCATAATCTTTACTATGTTCAGTAATGAAAATATGAAATTACATGAAAGTATACTAAGAAAGAGTTATAAAAAATAAAAAAAAAAAAAAAAACTATGAATCAACTCAAAATTTTCAAAGATAACATGAGAAAAAAGATGGTGTTCGACCTCCCTTATTCTCGTTGCCTATCTTGTATCTCTCTTCAACCTCATGTCTTGCGTTTACCACAACAATGCATCAGTTGATCATGTGCTCCACCTCTCATCCATTCTACATCTACCTGTAATTCCAAATACAGTTTATTTGTTATCATTTTATTTGGATTTCATAAAAAGTTAACATGGAAAAAATAAGAGAAATCGACATTCCAACCCCATAATGACCCAATTGGAGCTTGAGTTTTGTAGGATTTATCATTGTATATCTGAGAGGGTTGGAAAAAAAGCAAGACAATAAGCAAGAGGATTATGAAAAATCATCAAGTAGTTCTGAGAGCAACTCATCCACTGAGTGGGGATAAAAACTTTAAAACTATCATAATACAACAAAGTTTATAACCAAGAAGTTAATTAGTAAAAAATAATTTAGATTGCAGATTAACCTGCACAAAAAAACAACTCATTATTTTTTCACCATATATCATCTTACTAATGCTTAAGCTTCACTAATTTCCTTAAAGTCCTCGATGTTTTTTCTTGAGTGTTCCAAAAAATTTCATCTGATAAGACCCAATTTCCCAATGAACACAAAGAATTAGAATTTGAGAAGCAAGTAAACATATAAATATAATCAATAGACAAAGTATATAACATAAAAATAATAATAAAGTTCTACCTATGATGCTATTTTCTTCAAATCATTTATAATAGGCTTAAGTAACAAATCAACGACCAAGATTGTAGAATTTAGATAGAGATATAATGTAACGACCCAAATCTTACAAATAGATTTTTCATTTTTAATTAGTCAACCATTTTTTATAAAACATAGAGATTCCAATAATTGTTTTCAAAACCGTCAACATTACAACATTATTATTTTCAAAACATCAGAGTGTCCCCCAAACCAGATCGGAAAAGAGAGATAGAGTGCACGCCGCATCATCACGCCTTGCCTTTACCCTTGGATTCTGATGTACCTGAAACAAATCCACAAACGGTAAGCTGAAAGCTTAGTGAGTCCCCTACAGCATACCCCACACAAACCACATTTCATATTAGCTATAAAGCTACCTCTACCACATATCACATGTCAATTAGCCATGAAGCTATCTCTACCGTTAACCACAAAGGCTATCTCTACCATCAGCCATAAAGGCTGTCTCTACCATTGACCATAAGGTCGTCTCTACCATTAGCCACAAAGGCTATCTCTACCACATATCATGCACAAATACATATCACACCTCTACATAAAAACAAAAACCAACTATCGCAAAATGGGCCGACCTTGGTGCCTTAGACCCATTGGTATGGTGAGAAGACTCACCTCTCACAGGCTGAACCGGCAGACTGTAGCCTGATATATCCCACGCTGCTCCTCCCAAACTGTCTATAATCAATGAGTAAATAACTCAGCATAATCCCATAAATACCCCCAGGGTCAACCCTGGTCAAAGTCAAAGTCTATTGTCAAGGTCAATAGTCCATATTGACCTTGACTCGCCGAGTACAATCATTCACTCGTCGGGTTCCTTGCTTAACACGTCGACTCGCCGAGTCACCCGAGGGACTCGTCGAGTTCCTTGGTGTTTACGGCCGTAAACCACTAACCGTACACCCCTGACCGTGAACCCTTGGTCGTAAACCCTTGGTCGTAAACCTTCTCGACTCGTCGAGTCACCAGAGGGACTCGATGAGTTCTCACGTAATCGGTTCTTTCCGGTGGGATTTAAGGTTTCAAACTTCAGATCCATACTCTCCTAGTGAAGATATCACGTAAAGTTGCAAACTTTACGTGCATGCATAGCCTCACATGGCCATAACACCAAAACTAACCTTCAAACAAGGTTCTTATGCATGGAGAGGGAATGAGCTCAATAAAAGATGCAACTTTATGATATTTGGGGCCTAAGAAGGTCCAGATCTGGAACCATATCCTTGTGATAGGTCCAGATCTAAGCTTGCTTCCATTTCCTCAAAGTTGGCCACAACTCTCAATTAGAATTTATACTTAAGGTAACAGATTCATACCTCAAATCAACGCCCAAGACGAACTAGATGCTAGATCTAGTGTGTTTCCCCTTGATACTCCTTCTTCAAGCTTGAAATCCTCCCCAAAATCTCAAGGATAAGCTCCCAATTGATCTTACTTCACTCACAAGAGGGTGTGCGGCCGTAAACGTTCTTCTAAGATGCTAAGGGAGGCTACTGGGGCGGATAATGACGTTTATATAGGGGCAAACCCAAAATTTAGGGTTTTCTTTAAACAGCTCGGACTCGCCGAGTCGGTCCCGTTCCGCGTTTCATGATCTCACGACCCTACTCGACGAGTTGACCTCCCAACTCGCCGAGTCTGTGCATATATCCTTTCCAACTTAAACCAGGTGTTACATATAATGAGATTTAACCAAAGATACGAAAACTCCAAAAGAATCTATGGAATTAACACCCAAATTAGCAAAAATCAATAAACTGTTAAAGTGGTAAAAATAGTGCAAACCTGCAAACCATTTAATTGATAAAAGGGAGTATAATTAATTCAAAGTGGAAACTTTCATAAAAACATAGTTAAATTATGTTAATCATTATCTTAATATATATAAAAACATAGTTTTATTTAGTTTTTTCAATTTTTAAGGAACTATTTTTATCGAAAAAATATTTTAAATATATCAAAATTCATATTTTTTTTATTCTTTATAAATAGACATTTATATTGATATAGTTTTAAGATAAAATAAAAAATTTATATTTTTATAATTCCAGCTCCTGTTATT